CCGGACACAGATCAAGGAAGCAAGCAATCCAACTCCATTAGAATTAGTAAGTACTAGCAAGGGAATGGTTAGTTTATTTATTTATATTTTTTGGCTTGTGATTTTCTCTGTGCTGAGAGGAAGGTGTATTGCTGGTTTTCTTTTTTGTAACTTTAAAGTTTTGCCCAGAGGAAAATCCTCTGTGTTTTTGAATCTGATTGCCCTGTAAGATTATCTTCCATTCTAATTTTACAGGGGTGCTTCTTTTACCTTTTTTCTTTCTAATAAAGTTCTGTTTCTTTTAGAATCTGATTGGGGTTTTTTTGGTGTGTACTAAAAAACGGTTTGTCTGTGCTCATCTTCTTTATTCTCAAGCCTCTCCATGAAAGGGGGTGCGGGGTTTTGGGGGGATATTAGGAGGGAGTAGGGACTCCAAGTGGTCCTTTCCCTGAGTTTGTCTAAATCACTTCATGGTGGCAGCGTTACCTAATCCAAGGTACAAGGGAGAATTTGTGCCTTGGGGAGTTTTTAACCTAAGCTGGTAGAAATAAGCTTAGGGGGTCTTTCATGCGGGTCCCCACGTCGGTACCCTAGAGTTCAGAGTGGGGAGGGAACCCTGAGAATCCCTTACATAGTTTTATATCTTAAAAAGTATTTTCAATAAAGAACACATAAGCACTTACCATTTCAGATAAGTGTTTTCACTGAAGCCAAATAAATAAAATGCTGTGAAAATATCACATAATTAATCCTCAGATCCATCCTTAACCTCCCTGTTGACAATAGTAACTGGTGCCAATTGTGGTGCTTAGTTTTGTAACACAGGAATACCAGGAATGAGACCACGATTATTTCATAGGCCATTTAACAGCCAACAGATTGACTCTGAATAATGGTTTAAAGATTGGATTTTTTTCATCCCTTTTAAATAAAACATAGTGACCACAAGGGACAACTTGATAACTTTTGGTTACATTGACCTTTAGTGGATTTTAGTTCGTAATCTAGAGTTTAAAGACTCTCTCTATGCTGCTAGCAATCACTTGAGATATTCAACAAACTTTAAATAAGTTTTCTGATTCATTCCACCTCCTGGAAGCCATAACAGCATCCTTCCCACAGGACATGATATACATGTTATCCATTCATTATTACAGGATTTAACTTCACTTATGTAATCACTGATATCAAAGAGCCAAGTCTTGACGCAAACCCATGACTTCCAAATCTCCAGATTTATGTTGTGATCTTCAGTACCTGGACTTAGAAACCAAATTTTCACCTCATATATAGTGCATGTAACAAACACCATTAAATTGTCTTTCTTCACTACTGCTTATTACACTACCTATGAACCTTGTATGTATCCTATTGCTAACTGCAAGGTGCACGATCATGTTAAGATCAATCTTATGAATAATGAAAATTGCTATTGAAAAAACTGAAAGTATTAGGTTAAAGGTATTGTCTATTAAAACATGGGTAAGGTGGGGAAGGAAATGTGCGGCACTGAAAGCTAATCAGGGAGAAAATTTAATTGTGTTTCTAAATGAGACTGACCCACAAGTCTGTTCAAAGTTCAAAATGATTTTTAATTCACTTTTACATTTGGAATTTAAACTAAATAGAAGCATATACTGCCTTTCTAAAAATAATACTAATATTATGTGCTTCTGTAGTGTCTGTCATTCAAAAATCAAAAAGTTCTTTTCAAACAAAAATGTATGAAACCTCACAACAAACCTGTAAGTTAGGTAACTATTGTCAGACCCATTTCATAGTTGGGTTAACTTAAATATAGATGTAAAGTGACTTCCAAAAGAAAATATAGCAAGTCTGTGGCAGAGCTGGGAATAGAAGACTCCTGTCTCCCAGTGCTCTTCTACCTATTAAACACACTGGGCTCAGTTAAGAATGAGCTATAAGGTGTAAAGTTAGAACCTCCTGCCGCTTATTATAGGGGAGTTAAATGGGTGTATGTATATAGCATTGCAAAGAGATCTCAAACAGGATTAAGGTCGATCGATTATACTATACAAATGCCTCATAAACACATTAGAAATTGGTCTGTGCTGAACACAAGTTAATTATCATCCTGTAAAAATAAGACAAACATTTAGAGCAGTGAGGGATTCTAAGTGATGACAAATTACTGCAAAATAGCTAATTACATTGGTTGAATCATTCTGTTTCTCATAGGAATTTTAAACAGTAAAAATATTATGCACTTTTAATGAATATCAGGCTTATTCTATAATTTTAAGCTTTGGCAAGGTTGGTAATGGCTCTCCAGGTCTATAAAACAATGCAGTATCTCAAATAAAGTGAATCATCTTCCTCTTTCCTTCCATCTGTTAGTGTCCCTTAAGATTTTATCCTTAGCCTCTACACTGTCTTTCCTTCATGATCTTGTCTGCTCTTATGGTTTCAACTACAGCCTTGATGAGGATGATTCTCAAATCTCTGTTTCTTATAACTGCCTGCCTTCTGTTCAGTTCCTCATCTCTAGATGTCTTTCTAACACCTCCTCTTGTGTGTCCAGCTACCATTACAAACTCTCCAAAATGGAACTTTTTCATCTTTCCTTTCAATACTTCTCCACTCTGTCTCTTCTCTATCTGCACTGAAAACACGATTAAGAATTTGTGTGCTACAAACTGAGAAACAACCTGTATTAGTTTTTATGAATATGGTGCATGACTCTTCTCATTTATGATGGAGTTGGAGTTAGATCAAAAGGCATTGTTAAAAGAACCAAGCAGGGACAGTAAAATAATAGGCTAGATAAGGAACATCCCACCCAACAGTAAAACACAGTAGCCAGGCTTATAGCCATGAAGAGGTGATGCCTCTGTCCCAACCCTAGTGACATTGCTGTTTGGCCAAGGCTGATGAGAGAAAAACCAAAGGGAAACCCAAAGCCATTACTGGAGCATAGGCCTAGAAAAGGGAGGAGGGTTAGGTGAGAGAGGTGAGGCTGCCCAGGGAGAATCAATGAAAGCTGATAGGCTAAGGGGTACACAGAGACCATCTATTTTTCCCAGCCAGAGAGGGGAATTAGCTGGGCTGACAGGAACCTCCAAAAGCTGGTGAGGAACGATGAAGGTGTAGGTCAGAGCAATGTGTCTAGCTTGTTTATTGTTTTTACCTTTTGCTTTATGTGCTTTTGTACCTCTGGGGAAACAAATGAATAATACTTTGTTTTGAAGACCCTGTTTTGAGTTGCTTTAATCAACTCCCTGGTCGCAGGTTCCCAGAGTGAAAGGGCTTACAGGTTCCAAACGCAGTTCAGCCTATGTCATTAACCTGGCTGGGAACCAGGAAAGCTGCAACCCAGTGACCCAGTCCCAGAGTGGTTGGATTGCGTGGTTCTGCCTGGAGTGAAGTGCAGGAAGCCAGCCCTGTTACCTAACAGGTGCACTTGAGGGGGAGGGACTAAAAAAGGTCCAAGGTGCAGTTCTTCCTGTAACCATGACACTTTGTCTCCCAGATTTACAATCACAGTGGTATCTTTCCACTTTTCCTCATATACTTGTCTCTACTAAGCATGCCCCCTTTTTCTCTGTAATATAGCCATCCTCTTTTCATTCTTCCCTATTCCCTGAAAACCCTGTCCAGTTCTTGTGCATCATTATCTTGTCTGTTTTAAACTTCTTCTCTAGACCTTCCCACCTCTCCCATCTTTTCTCTCCAATCAAATCCATCTAGTGCTTCTAAAATCATTCTTCTCTCCTGCCACTCCAACAAAATTGCTGCCCTCTGAGAAAGCCCATGAAAGGGATTCAATCTGTATTCAAGTTTCATGTCCTAGTCTTCACAGCGTTACATAATCTTGGCCCCATCTGTATATTGGATCTCATTTTGTATGCTATTCCTGAACCTCTTTCCTTACTGCTCCCTTCATTGTTCTTCTTGCACTCATGGCTATTCATTTCTATCACATTGCTCCTGTGCGAAGAACAATCGCAAACTCCCTGACCTCCAGCAAGCCCTCCTTCTGCTCCTTGCTCCAGGAAAGTTTGCTACCTTCTTCGCCACCCAAATCCTCCTCCCATCTTCTCTTACTTGAGCTAGAGTTCCATGGCTCATCATGTCTTTGGCTTGTATAGCTTAGACTGTAAGCTCTTCAGAGTTTACAAAGAATAAATACTAACCCAAGACCCCAGTCCAACCAATCTGTTCTTATGCTTTTTACATTTATACTTTCTGAAGGCTAATTTCCATTCTCAGTAGAATCATTGCCTTTGGTGGAAGTAATTTATTTCTATAAACACAATAAGAGGATTAGACAACAGAGGTGAAAAAATAGTCTGTACTTTTAAAGTTGGAAAATTTCTACATATATAGGTATGGCAGGTGGCTCTGTAAAGGTTAAGCAACCTTTACCCAGCTGCTTGGTGGTGTAAGCAGCCTTTTGGTTCTTTCTGTATTTTATCAAAGGGCTTTCAGCTGAAAAAGAATCAACTACCCAACTCTCTTATGGCTATTTTCACTGTACAGCACTGTAAGCAGAGTAAATCGCATGGTAGATGCCACACGATACAACGACTGAATATTTCGAAAGGAACAATAGCCAGATTAGAGATCTGTAATCAGTTCTGACTGCAGATGAACTCACATGTAATTTAACTAAATCGATCGTGTTTAAAAATGCAGATTTGTGGCGGCTGTTACAGGCGTACTGCTTAGTGCCCTACACACCACCAGTGATGTGTTCATTATACAACTCAGAGATTAGATTGATAGAGATAAGCAGATGACTGTTACATCTAAGATTAAATGTATAGGGCTTATCTCACTCCTGTTTAAGTCAACAGAAGTCTTGTCATTGACTTCATCACAAATTGGATCAGACCCATAGTGAATGAGCACTCGGGGAATGTTTTAGTAGACCAAAAATGTCCACATTAGTTAGATTCACTCATTTCCACCTTACTTAACATATCCAGATCATGCTAAAATAAACTAGTGCTTTACATGAAGCTGGGAGATAAACAGTTAAGCTGTGTAGCAAAAGGATATGAATAAAATTGTCATCCAAGTTGCAGACTGCTGCTTGGAGTTGATCTTCTAATTGCATCAGTTTCTCACTTATTGCTTCACATTTTTCACCAAGTTCTGCAGAAAATACGTGGAAGTCCTAGGAGTTGAAAAAGAAAAGAAAATGTGATTGCTATTTATTCCATTAGTACAGTTCAAATTCATGGCAAATTAAGGATAAAATAAATATTTTAAAAACAGTAAGACTGGATGGCTCAGGGAACTGGTAACAGGATGCTGTGCCTTGCATTGCTAGGTCACTCGTTCAAACCATGGTCCCATTTGTACTGACTGAAAGCTGTTATCGTATGATGATTTGGTGACCTATGTGAAATTAAATGACCTGTGGTCTCAATCCATCCCCAAGCAGCAAAATAAGTCATGATAATTGTCATACTCAGCAGGGAATTAAATGGTCACTGAGATTGAACTGCCCTCTCACTCCCCAAAGTGGTCCCAGCCCTTCAGTGAAGGGGAATCTTGCATGGCCCACGCTGTTCATGTTCTATGGTTAAACAGACTATAGTCTCTAGGGGTACAATTTTCAAAACCATCAAAGTCCTATTTTTCAAAAGTGACTTAGACATTTAGGTCCAGTGACTTTCAATGAGACTTTCTAAGTGCCTAAGTTGCTTTTGAAAACATGACTTGGGTTCCTAAGTCACTGGTATTTTTCAAAATTTTACCTGAAGGCTATAAATGTTGACATCTCTTTCAAGCACTAAATTTGCTAATTTTTTTTGAAAAGACAAAAATCTGGCTAAAGTGTTGAGAGACTTTGCTTGAACAATTCAGAATTTTGGGCGGGTTTAACATATGTGCCATTATTTAATGTTTTCACCTTAAGAACACTGAACATGAATTTATCTAATATAATAACTTTAATTTTGTTGGTTTAGACTAACAGTATTCTGCTATTGCATTACAAAGGAAAGCAAGAAAATATAAGTTTAAAAAACTAGTTGTTTCCCACAATTTTTATTTCAATCACAGTAAATTTTAAAATGTGTAGTACTACTTCTACTTACAAATTTTGCAATTAACCAGGTTTAGAATATTCACTATAGATATTTTCATTTGAATATTTCCTTGCAGTGTCATTCCTCGTTAGGTGATTGGCAAATTGGCAAATGATTATTTTGGGGAAAAAAAGTTCTAAAATTAATTGTAATAGTGAGACACGAAAAAGGCAATTTTGCTATTTTAATCTACACCTGCATCTACACTGGGTGATATGGCCAGACTCAGGGAAAGCCAGGTATATGTAAATGGGTGATTAGGTACCAGATCTGAATTTCCATGACCACAGTATTTCGACAACCATGGTCAATCACTAACAGGTCAGCCTGAACTATTCTTCTCTTGCTGCATCCCCTACAAATTCATCCAAACAGGTGATGTTAATTTTACACATGCAGCTAGTGTCCTGAGTCTTATATGAGCCTCAGAATCCAAAATGCCAGCTGCTCTGATGCTTCCTTTAAACCAGGGCAAAGGATTCTGGGGCATATTCAGAAACCCAAGCATTCACTAATAATAAGTTAAACCAGAAATGTCTTCTTTGAGGAAAAATACAGCCGAGTGGGTGGGCTGGGGCAGGGAGCAACTGAGACAAGCTGGGGTGACCAAATAGCTTCACTGCCTGGCTCACCAAGGTAGGCAGGGCTTCTCTTAAGAAGCATGTATGTTCTTCGCTGGGATGTGCTATCCAGTGTGAAGTATTCTGATTCCCAACTGTATTGGTTCTGTGGATCTTTGGAGCATTGACATAGTCATCCATGGTGTAACAGTGAATTTACACCAGTGATTAATTTGGCCCATTGCTTTTAAATTCAAAGGCAGGTGGGGAGAAGGCGGCCTCTCTCTATATTGACTGTAAATGTCCTTGTTTTAGAACGGGGTAAAGAAAATGAGTCATCCATCTAGCTGGTAAATTGTTATTCAGTACACCAGCAAGCTCTTGTATGTTTTTTAGGGAGAGGGATAACCTGAGCAATTTACACAACTGGAAGGCTATTAGAGAATAGCTCTGTGAGAGGCATACAAGAAAAGATTGTAGTATTCTAAATAAACAGGCTCCAACGAGAGACTGCTGAATTGGAATTAATTTGCAAACTGGATACAATTAACTTAGGCTTGAATAGAGACTGGGAGTGGATGGGTCATTACACAAAGTAAAACTATTTCCCCATGTTTATCCCCCACTGTTCCTCAGACGTTCTTGTCAACTGCTGGAAATGGCCCACCTTGATTATCACTACAAAAAGCTCCCCACCCCCCCCACTCTCCTGCTGGTAATAGCTCACCTTAAGTGATCACTCTCTTTGAGCTATAACTCACCAAAGCTTATGCTCAAATAAATTGGTTAGTCTCTAAGGTGCCGCAAATACTCCTTTTCTCTTTACAGTGTGTATGGTAACACCCACTGTTTCATGTTCTCTGTGTATATAAATCTCCCCACTGTATTTTCCACTGAATGCATCCGATGAAGTGAGCTGTAGCTCACGAAAGCTTATGCTCAAATAAATCTGTTAGTCTCTAAGGTGCCACAAGTCCTCCTTTTCTTTTTGCGAATACAGACTAACATGGCTGCTACTCTGAAACCTAAATAAACTTTGGTATCTCTAATGCTAGAAAGAGAAGAGTCAGTAAATCATTGATAGTCATCTAAAAATGATGATTACCTAGTGAAAGTTCCATCTTTGAATGCCAATTTTTTCTAAAGAAGTTCACCAGTCATAAGAAAATTAGATCTCCATACAGCCATCATTTCAAATGTGTCAATGTTGTGTGAGTGTGTGGCGGCGGAAGGGCGGGGTGGAGGTTGGTGCAGTGATGTTTTGCTCAGTACTATAAAATACAAGCACTTGATTTAGCAAGAAAAGCTTTTAACTAGGATTTGAAAGCTCTTACGTGCAGATTTGCTTTGATGGATAAAACATATGAATGAAGTTTTCCAAATCAAGCTATCACTGTGGACTGTGCACTTAAAATAAATGACCACAGTCCAGAACATGAAGAAGTGCTGTTTTAAAGTGACATGTAAACAAAAACCAGGCTCTAGTTCCATAATATCACTATATTGAGTACTTTGGCTGGATCAGACTACAGTACATTGTTTTAATTAAGGGCTATTAGTATATTAGACTATAGATCAGACTCATGCTGCCAAAACCCATGAGATTTCCAAGGCTGGTTTGAAAAAAAATCATCATTGGAGGCAACAGGTAAAAAATATTGTGCAGATTAAGTGACTGTCTTTGAAAATGTGTGTCATTCTGAGTATATTTAAGCAAAATGATACAATAAGGGTATGTGTTATATTGGGACGTCCCTGTTTTCAGGTGGGTTAAGTCAAGTCTGAGGTCAGAGTACTTTCCTAGAGTACTGTTGCACGGCCAGTTTTATCCCTAATATCAGTCACCTAACTAGCATAATTGCTGAAAGACAGGATTGGTTTCCAGAGTCCCTTGAACCCAACTCCTTTCTAAAGTTGCATTCATCTGTGCTTCCTGGCGTACGAAATACTGAGGAGCCTTAAGACATCTTCATTGCAGCATTAACTCATGTGATCGGCACCTAGGTCTGAGCATCTGGGTTTGTCTAGCTCAGCTGTGCATGGCCAGACCGCAAAGCCTTACCTGAGTTACTGTGTCCTCAGTGGTGTGCACTCACCCCTGGGTGTTGCTAGGACTGCTAGGGTCATATTCCATGGTTCTTAGCACTGCAGTAAGATGAGCTATCCTGTGATTCTTTCCCAGTGAATTGTCAGAGAACTTGTCTGTCCTTCTGGGCTCATGGGGTAATTGTGGGAAAGCACTGGAGGACTATCAGCCCTCAAGAGGTTTAGCCTGCATCCACATTGCAGAATGGGTGGGTCATCAATCCAAGTGAAAGCCTCACTCCGATTCTAAGCTATCACCTCAGACAATCCAGCTAGCCCATGAGACAATTGTATGTGTAGATGGGAGGGAGGTTGAGGGCCACACCCAAGTAAAAACCTGTGCTAATTCTGCCATGAAGAAATACCCTGGTCAATGAAGAACTATTCTGTGTTGGTCTATTTCAGACTAGTTTTACTCTGTTGACAACATAGGTCATCTCATTTGGGTCCTCCAGATCATCTCCTATAGTCACATGCAAAAGGAGATCTTCCACCACCCCCTCTCTTTGCAGCTATGATCTGTGTATTAGTTGAAGTGGTCTCCTCATTAGCACCTTGCTTTCCCTTTTGTTTTTTGATTCAGAAGTTACAGGAGAAAGGTCCATCTTTTGATATACCTAGTATTTCTTATCTTTTAGCTTTTGTGGGTAGGCGGAGAGGTCCTCCAAGCCCATGTCAGATCTTAGAGCAGCTTTTCCCCAGATAAAGGATGTGCCCCTCTTAGAGAAAAGGATGCACAGACAGACCTCCCAACTGTTCTCCAGGGTCCAGCTTTTATTTCTTTTTTAAAAAGTTAGTGTCTAGCTGTTACTTTGTTTTAAAAAAAAAAAACATGTGAAAACATGACCCAAATGTACTTGTGCAGCAATGTCTGCCTGAGTCTCCAAAGAGCCTGAAACAGTAGTGTAGGAGTGTCAGTTGTACCATTCGTTTCAATGGCTAAAACGCCAATGATGACACTTTAAATGTCAACATTTTCAACTATTCCACTGTTCAGCAAAGCACAGAAGAAAGCAGAGGAAGCATCATGTTATAAGAATCTGTACAATCTACTCTGTATGTCTGCATCCTTAAGTAAGACTTTAACAAACACCTGTAAGGGTTGGAGGGCCATGATTGGTTTCCTTTTTCTGAAGCAGGACCCCTCAACTTTAAAAAGTTTGGGAAATGCTGCCTTAGAAAATTCCCATTTTCTTCCTCTTTTTCCACTCAGATGTCCGGTGTCACTCCAGGCTGTATATCAATGTAATCTCAAATAAAATCAACAGTTACTTCAGATTTACACTGATGTAACTAAAAATAGAATCTTTCTCCTTTCCTGTTTGCTCATCCCATTCCAGATAAACCTTTTTCTGTTCTGTACCAGCTGGACTGGATGTTTTATCTCTTCCTCTCTTTTGATTTGTCACAGTCACTCCTCAAGTTTGCACTGCTTG